TTCCACGTGGTAATTCTTTGACAATAAAAATGTGAAAAAAAATCCTGTCGATTCTTTTAAGGAGTTTCGCTGTTTTCTAAGTTTAAGAGCAGGGATATTCCTGCGGGATCGCACGGGGCAAACGGGGGATATTACTTACGACGAGGAGGAATCCTGCGGAGCGTCGGTCGGTAGTCGGGAAGTAGTATTTCTCCTCGCGTAGTAGGCAGGAGGAATTTCCATTGAAGAATCCTTTCCCGGCTGGCGAGTGGTATAATTTCCCGCCGCTTTTCGAGCGGCTCCATCCGAGTGCAACGAGAAAATTCCAGGAGAGACCATGGTCTACGACACCGGGAGAGCGATCGGCGCGATCGATCCGTTCGATAAGAGGAGTATCGATCCCGCCCCTTCCGCGAGGAGAGAAAGCTCCTCTTCTCTTTTTCCTCTTTTCAACGGGGCGTGGATAAAAAAAACGAAAGAAGGAAGGAAAAAAACACCGTAAATCCTCCTTGCTCTCGGGCCGTGACACACGACCTCGCGATTCAATAGAATGAGACGATATTCCGAGCAAACGATCGCCTTGTACGACATTCCGGCCCTGCAGGTGCATTTGTCACTTGCCGGGTAATCCTTCCTTTCTTCCCAGTGGAGACGAAATTCCCTATTCCCGAATCCTTCCTCCCTCGGGAGGGAAGAGGTAAAGATATCACCGTTGGCGTAATACTTTAGACAGATATTACAGACATTGTACAAGTCTCATCCAGATTGTAAAATCCGGCGTTTTGAAAAACCCCTAATCGCATAGGTCTTACATCTTTCGAGAAAAAAAAAAAAAATGTAAAAAGTCGAAAAAAGAAATTTCATGAGCAGCGGGTTATTCCTTAGGGCCTCCATAGTCACGTGTTAATTTTTTAAATAATTCGGTGCACCCAGTTTGGCGAAAAATTTTATAAATATTTTCACTTTTTGGGTATATATCGCACTTTCATATCACCTTAAGGCCGTTCTCTCCAGGCCGTGACAAAATCAGCGACACGTAAATCGGCATCGCTCGAGCGATCCCCGTGACGGAACGATCGATCCGCGAATTGGTCCGCAAAAGTGTTAATGTTTTAGGTAATTCGGTGCACCCAGTTTGTCGAAAAGTTTTTTAATGTGTTGATTTTTTGGGTATGTATATACATCGCACTTTCATATCACCTTAAGGCCGTTCTCTCCAGGCCGTGACAAAATCAGCGACACGTAAATCGGCATCGCTCGAGCGATCCCCGTGACGGAACGATCGATCCGCGAATTGGCCCGCAAAAGTGCACCGATCGCTTCGGGGTTTGGCGAACAACCGCGAACTTTAGTACTTGCACTTTACGAGTCCATGTCCAACGGAGGAAATAAGAACGCGAGGCGAAACGCCGGGACGGCCGTGTGGGAATACGGTTGCATTTCAACTCGGTGATCTGTGATTCGATCGGCTTTCCGATCGGATCGATGCATTACGTGTGCTCGAATGCACCGATACGTGCCCAGCTTCGCGTCTGCGCACTTTCCGATCTACTGGCCTGCTTTTATTCTGGATATATTCGCTACTCGCTAAGGAGGCTTAAGGTGATATGAAAGTGTGATGTATACATAAGAAAAAATCCAAATATTGATGAAACCTTTCTGCAAATTGGGTGCACCGAATTATCTGAAACTTTAACCCGCGATTACGGAGGCGCTGAGGAACAACGCTGTTCATGAAGTGTCTTTTTTCGAGAAATTGAAATTTCACGGGCGACGCTTTCTTCCTTAGAGCCTCCATAATCACGTGTTGAAGTTTTAGATTATTTGGTGCACCCTATTTGGAAAGGTTTTATAAATACTTTGATTTTTTGCTATGTATATGCGACACTTTCGTATCACCTTAAGGTGATATGAATTTTTTTAACAGTGTGGGGTATGGGAATTAGAAACGTGGGGGCCCTAGGGGATAGTGCAGATTGATATTCGAGTTTCCGAGGTCCTGCAGGAGGTTCGCGTCTCCTCGAGGGTGGAGGAGGTACAAAATGGCCGCCTTGTCCGACAAATAATGGAAAAGCGAGTGCGTCGAAATTAAAAGCAGATCCATCGGCGGTTCGAGCTTCGAGATTCGAGGAGAGATCCCGGGGAGCGATTCGAGGAGTCGGACAAAAGATTCTTTTTTTTCTCTCTCCGGAGGGAGGGGGTGTAAAGACGCGAGGGCGAAGGAAAACCCGGCCCCGGATAAGGGAAAGGACGGATCAATTACCCAGCAGTAAGGATCAGAGGACCCTTTATTCCTCCGTGTATCCTGGCCGAGGACCCTGCCGGGTACAAAGACCCACGGCTTTCGCGATCCTCCGGAAACGCGGGGGAAGGGCCGAAGGGCGCCTCCTCGAAATAGGAAAATATCCAGGCCTGGCCTAATCTGGATCAGGCAGGGATGAAGTGGTACGAGCAGAAAATTGGCGTTTCACTTATAAGTCGTCCTTTCGGGTCCCGTAGGACTCGGATTCGCTCCTGCCAGGCTCCACTTCTCGCCCTTTCTCGGCAGCAACGAGGGTCGGGCAGCTCGATCCATTATTAAGGCTTCAGAAATTTGGCGCGCCGGGCTGCCTGATTAAGCGCGATAACGAGACCTGGGAAAACTCGACTTTCTTCTCGAGAAAGAGGTTCGACGTAATCTATCTTTTAAAATTTTCAAATCCCAAGAAAAAATCCCATTTCAAATTCCATCAACGATTACAAGGCTTGGCTCGGGGTTACCACGTGTCTTTAGAGCAGACATTTAGTTGCAGCCAAACGTCACAGATGGCGACGCTGGTCTTAAACAGTCGTTAGAATAATAAATTCACAGGATTTCGACAGTTTGGCACCGATCTCGTTACTTTACCGAGATGACATATGGAACGCTTCAGTTCGTATAATTATCAATGTAGACTGTAAAAGACTTCAATATTAATATAAATGTCGATAACGTGACGCGTAAGCTTATCTACCCACTTGAGTATTAGGAACGGCATTACCATTAAATAGGGTACAGATGAATTTTAATTTATCTATCTGGAATTAAATTTCTCAGCGCCTTTCATATCATTCTTAAGCATCCCTTATATTTCCGTGGTTGATAGCATATTTGAAAAGGAATGGAATCGAAGTTTCTTTGTGAGCCGAGGGTGGCCCTCGTCCCGAGGCAAGAAGGGGGTCCGAAAACCTTCTATGGGGTGCGTTTGGGACATCTCGGCAACATCTCGGAGCAAATCTGCTTCAGCCCGAGGAACGATCGACCATTAGCGTCGTAAGAAGGCCGTTATTCGGAATCCCATTAGTCGGCGAAGTAGCCGGTCGTTCCGAGCTAATCTTTCGCCCCGTAATCGCTCGTGGCGATTCCCAACCCTCGCGAAAAAGGCCGCTTCCCTTCCGCCGTGCAGCCCCGAAACGCGACGATCTATCAACATCACCCGAGATTGAGATTTTGCACTTTTGACAAAAACAAACTGCCGGGGCGCCTACTTTATATTCCGGAATTTCTCCTCTCGTCAGCCTCCTCCACCCCCGTGCGGCGCGTCACGTGTTCGCGTTATTATGTGTCACCTCGGGAGGGGGCGTTCAATTTTGTATAATGTATCGAAATTTTCTACGAACGCGACACCCCGCTCCAATGGGGCAATCTGCCAGCTCGTACACGTAGGTGAAACGATCCGCACCCTCGGGAAGATTCCGCACACGAGGCGCGGAATCATCTCCTCTTTTTCGCCCCCTTCTTTCGAAGGGATACCCGCGACCTCTCGATCGCTCCATTCGCGAGCGTTTCGTTTTAAAGGGTTGCTTAAGTGTAGACGGGATTTTAAATTCGGAAGAGAATGCATTTCTCGAACAATTATGTTTTTATTTCGATCCAAAGTCCTTCCCTGATCTCGTTAATCCATTTTTGAAAGGCAAGCTTCTGCGACGAAACGAATTTTTTAAATCTTCGCCACGTGAATATAGAGGCCCTAAGAGAGGTCTTGACACCCATGAAATGTCATGTTACATAAAAGATTTAAGTAATGCTTATAAAGAAATTCAGAAGAACGAAGGACCTCCACAGTCACGTGGTCACGGAAATTTTTATTTGGGGTTCCAGGCTCGGCCGAATTCATTTTGCATCTTTAGGGGTCCCAGGGCCGTTTCTTGGTAGCTTAATGTCAGAAATAAGCGAAAGCCCCGGTGTAAATATAAATTCGCGTCGGGCCACTGCGTGGCATGTTCTTTTTCGACGAAAGCGGGGACAGGGACAAACGATCCGTGTATGGTAACCTCCAATTTAATTTTCCGCTTGTGCCGGCTCCGAATTTAATGGAAAAAAAAAAGAAAAAAAGAGAGAGGAGGAAAGAGACCGTGGAAAAAGTAGTGCACCCTCTCGCAAAAAGGGTGGCGGACGAGAGGAGGGCCAATGGCGAGCACAGAGAGAATTACCGATACGTTTCTCTCGCCTCTCATTTTCGAGCCGGGAAATGAAAAATGCCAAAGCGTAAAGGTACCTCGCATTGGCCCGAAAGAGGGAAATAAATGAACCCGTGTGTATACAGGGTGTTTCAGACCTCGCAATAATTCCGGGAGAAGTCGGCGAAGTTTCGAGTAGAAACTTCCTTTACCACTTTTCCCTCGAGGAATTATTCACCGAGTTATTAACTATTAAAGCTATCGCATTAAGGACGTGCGACTTAATTTATTAATAAGTTTAAAAAAAAAAGAAATCCTCTTTCAAGGGTGTCGGGGCCTTCCTTATAGCTTCCAAATTCATATTGAAAAGATTGGAACGATTTGTGTTTTAATATCTCGGTAAATAATTATCGGGAGTTAAGTATTGTAGTTTCGAATTCACTCTGTATTAAGTTTCAAGGTTTTGGAACACTCTACGTGTATACAGGTAACCACAGGTACGGCCAAGGATGAAAAGGAGTGCAATCGTGACCGTTTACGCATTATGCCGTAATGGCCCCTTCGTCGTCCCTTTCTTTATCTCTTTTTTTATTCTCACTCACCGATGCACCACTCCCCTGGAATGCATGTGGTCCAATGCAGCCACCAATTGTCTGCCGTAAACCTTCACCGTCTTCTCTTCTAGGCGACCCGAAGGTTGTCGTTTAATGTGCGAAAAGAGATCACCGCCACTCGCTAGCTCCGTCACCAGATAGTACACCGATCCACACTGGGGAGCAATCGATCAATCATCGATCGGATTGGTTTCATTCCCCCATAGAATAGAGGCATAGATCGTGACACATTTTATGCAAGAGGATGGGTTAAGTCGAAAGGAAATGAAACACGTGGGAATATTTTTAAGCATAACCCAGTCATTCTATTGTCAGCCAACAATGCTTCCAACGAATCCGAGCATGATTTATATTCCGTTATTGGATCTATCAAAACTATGCATTATCGAGTAATCATTGAAATATTTAATCCTTGGCCTTAATGCTAGAAACGAGAGACAAGCGAAAAACGAATTTTTAAGGCGAGATAAATCTAATATAATTATTTCATAACGTCACTTTCATATCACTTTACGAGATAAAACTAATAATTATTTCCCGAAAGAAAAAAGTTCATGGGGACATTGGCGTGCCGTAAACGTGTAACAGTGCCATCGAAAACTCCGAATATTGTTATTGTATCGCAAATCTATCTCGACGAAAGGGGCGTTAAGGGTGCACACGAGGCGCGATCATAACGCAAACGCGTAAAAAGCGTAAAAAGCGTAAAAGGTGTAAAAGGCGCGTGCGAGCGCAGATGTCGCGAAGAGCGACGTCGGCTCTTGGCATCCCCCTCGACGTCGAAGATTATCACGTGAAAATGAGATATAACAGAAGTCATTTTTATGCGATCTCGCAAACAGCCCGTCGTCCCTTTCTCCCCTCTTTCGCAGTCCTTCCCTGTCGTATCTTCGCTCTTGCCTCCTTTCCCTCATCGCGCGGGAAATTCGTCGAGGGGATGAAAAAAGGGCTGCACAGAGTTCCAGGGAAATGACAAGGTTCTTTTACAAGATTTAACTTTGCATTACCCCTTTCAGTGCCGGACAACATGTCGTCGATTTACAAATAATTATCCGGCGAGTTACATTCAAGATTTTTATTACCTCTGGATAATCACATTAAGACGGTTCTCACTTTATCAATTTCTGCTCTAGGCATCTCTCTAGTCGGAATTTTTGTTTTATACGGTGGGCAGCGAAAGTTACGAACACTTCTGATCCAAAATTTCATTTTAAATCCTACCCCTCGAAAAATAGGAATTCTTTGCGAGCGATCGCCCGGATTAAATTAATTAATAATAAATAATAGGTGTCCGTACTATTAAATAGGATTGTTCCTGGAAATTAATGGGTCCTCGATGTGGTTGAGTTACGTTTCTTTTTCCCATTCTTTTGAAAGAGGCTCCGTAGAGATTCTCGCGTCTCCTCGGGGAAGGAAGATCGATTCGCAGGGGATGCTTTCGGAAAGTTCCGTTCGGCCGTCCCGAGGAACGAGGGAGGAAAAGGAGGGCTGAACGAGGGGGAGGCGACTTTGTGACATTTAATTTTTCTAATGGCCTCTGCGGACCAGCGCGATGCTCTTGAAACTTTTACGCGACGTCGGCTTTACTGGGAGGACCGGCCCTCTGGTGATGTCTCCTTTTTCCGACGACCGATATCGCTGAGGATATGGCATCGCGATGGATATCTTTATCCCCCAAAAATTCCCCAAAAATGTTTCGGTTTAAATCGGTTCGATAATTCAGAGAACATCTCGAAGAATAATCCGAGTATTGAAATGTACCTAATTACTTTAACATCGGAGCGATTCACTTTTGACATAATCAGTCAGAAGATATGAGCGTCATAAGAGTGTCAGGTAAACGAAATCCACCTAGGACACCAGGGAATATTTAATCGATTCATCGAGATATTTTTCAGCAGTCTTCTTGGAGGTCGGTCTTAATTAACTTCTTCTCGGTAGGTGCTTTAATTATTTCCCAGCCTCTGGCCGGCGCGTAAATCATTTCCGGCGTCTCTCGAAACCCACGGGGTGCGTTGGAAAAATTAGACCGGAAAAGGGAAGGCACTTAATCAGTCGGGGCTCCGCTCCCGTTTAAGCGTGTCGTCTAAACAGTTTTGCGAGGGAATTCGCAGGAGTTCCTCGCCTCGTCGTACACGGTGCTTCCCGGGGGAGAGCTCGAACGGGAATTGAAATTAGCGTCGCCTTTCGCACGCGGCGCCGTCAAGATTATTCCTACGGAAAGCGGCCACCCCCCGGAGGGGTGGGGCTCGGGGGATTTATAAATTCCGCGGAATGGCTTATTTAATTAAACCCGAAAAGACGGATCGTCTCGCGGACGTGCGAGGGCCCGCGTTAACTCGGGGACCTTCCGTCTTGCTCGCGTTTCATCCCCCGATGTTATCAAGGGGAGCATGTAGATCGCTTAATTGCACCTTGACGTCCATTTTTGCGCCCCGATAGAAACTTGCAAAACAATTTCCAGGGTAATTACCACCCCCGATGCACCCTGGATGCACGTGGGAAACGTTATTTACCCCCTTTTTCGGGTTATCGAGGTTATCAAGAAAGTTGAGCCTCGAGCCAAAGACATTAGTACGAGAAATTCTTTTTAGATTAAGTAATTATATTCAAATTTACCCGAGTATGATCCTTCGCGTCCGCGGGAAGGTACAGCAATGAATTTGACGTGCTATCGAAATCGCAGCCCCTTATCATGAAATTAATTGTTTCGTCCGTTTTGCGAGGTACGGAGATTATCACGTCACGGAGAGGGTGATTACTTTGCCCGATTTGCCGGATTTTAAGGTCGTTGCAACGGACAGGCCAAGGGGTGTCCGTCACCCGGGGAGGTTAGGATAGGGTGGCGCCTTATCGAGGTGATTAACTTCCCTTCATTAACGGCCTCATTAAGCCGCCAGGCTGTCTGTTCGTTTGGGAGACTTCACCGGGAGTGGGTCTTAAATTTCCGACGAATTTTCGACGACTGCCCCCTGCAACCCCGGCTCGCGTCGCCTCCTGCGGGGGAGATAAAAAAGAAAATCCTGTGGGACGCGAGGGTTAACCTAGTGCGATTCGGCACGCTTCCTTTTTCATCCCTTTGCCTCTCTTCCTCCCCTGTCGGGTCTTCTCAATGGCCGATTCGACGCGCTCTATCAGCGAGGCCTTCATGCTCGAAGAATTCCAAGCTGACGCGAGCACATACGAAGAGTCCGTTCGCCATGATTTATGCATTGTGTCGACCACAACCCCCGAATTCCGACACCCCCCTCTCGGTGGAATAGCTCGATGGGTTTTTAATAGCAAGGTAATCCCGAAAGTGCACCCCTGGACCGCGTCTCGTGTCCTTTGCCATCATTAAGGTGATATGAAAGTGCGATATATACATACCGAAATGTCGAAATATTTATAAAAGCCTGGACTAGTACCAAGATCATATTTATTTATTAATTTTTTTCCGTGAAAAATCAAATTTCACGAGCATCGTGGCGAATTTCCAAACGATTCGGTGCACTCAGTTTGGAGTAAAGTTTTATAAATACTTTGACGTTTTATATATATAATGTTATATGTATAGAGACAGCCTATATATAGAAGTCAAATCGTTGTTGAAAATCCTCCCATGATTGGGTGTACCGATTAGTTAGAAATTTTCCCACGGAGGCTCCGAAGTAGGAGGAAGATCTAAACTATCTGGAAATTCGCAGGAGTGGTGAGCGCCCTGGAAGAAATAATTCCCTGGGAAGAGGGGAGTTTTAATTTTTTTTTTCCTCAGTGTAGAATGATTACCTGTATCGTCTCGTAGAGCCTGACAATCCCAGGGTGGTGGAGAACGGAAAGCAACTTGGCTTCTCTGGCAATGTTCTTAACGACGTAGCTCTTGCGGATCGTCCCGGCGTCGATCACTTTAATGGCCACCTGTAACAAGGGTACCAGTGGATTTCCTAGGCGTGAATATTTAAGCTACTCCCGCTCAGGGATTTCGGCTTGGCGACAACCTTCGGGGCTAATCCTGGGTGGAAACGCAAAGCGAGTCCCTAGGGGTTCGCGTGGACACTCCGCGCCGAAAGGCTCGGCCGGCTCCCTCAGGACGGTCAATAATTCAGGCGTTAATTAACATTTGATCGTATCGCGTGGTGTACGCATTCGGGAGCACTTTGGGTAAGAGCTGTTAGGGAGACCGCGAGAAGAGGACGGGATGCACGTCCTGTAGGATAGTCGGAGAAGGACGGGAGCAAGGAGCAGCTGGTGGCCTGATTTCGAACGAATCCGGGAGGAGCCCGGAAAGATGGGGTGTAACGAGGGGGTGGCTCGTGTAAATCATCGGCACGTAGGCCCACTCCCTGCTAAACAGCCTTAAACGACGCCATGAGCATCCCTAACCTATAATATACGCGCTACGCATCCCTAACCTATAATAGACGTCCAGGGATTTCGCTTTCGAGTTACGGCCACGGTCGTTAAATCAATTCCGACCTCGCAGGACATTTAATTCCTGAAACTTCGCGCGATTCTTGGAGTCGTCAGCACTTTTAGTTCCTCCGTTGGATTAGAAAGAGCAGATTTCTAATAAGCGTTTCATTCAGTTAGGAGATTGTTTCTTTTTAAGGACGACATTCCTAACCTATATACGCGCATGGACCTCGTTGAGATTTTCTCATCGAGATGTAACTCGCGACATGAACTAGTGTTCCCGATATACGGAGAACATAATTTCGGACGTTTTTTATATTTTTCTTTTAGCCGAAATTTTCATCGCTTCTTCTGTCTAGTCAATGGATTTGGCTCGAGACTCTACCGACTTCTTCGATCTCGGGTATGAATAAACTTTTAATTAGAACGAGCGTTTGAAAAGGTGGATAATGAAGTCGTAGAGAGGTCGAGGGTCTTTTTCTGGGGACGAGATTCGATGCCGGTTTTCGTGTCGACTCGTAAACGAGGTCTCGGATCGTCGGTAAAGCTCGCTGCAGCGCTCTGTAACGGCTCTTACCGATGCCCGGTCGCCGTTTTTTGCCAGACGCGCCCCCAACTTTACGAGCGAGGCCTTAATTGCCGGACAATTAACGGACAACCGTGGGACCATTAATTAAATCGAAATAGCCGCGGGATTCGGGGGCAATTCGCCGTTTCGTCCATGAAGTAATCGGACCTCTAAATCTCCGGCGTCTACTCAGGCGAGCGGCCTTAACGTCACGCCGTATAACGGCGGCCGAGATACGCCCGATGGCTTAAATCCTTACGAGGCTACTTGTAGGAATTTACGAGCATCGTGGACCACTCCCGAAAGAGAGGACCCACTCTGCTCGGTCCACTCGAAGCGGTCCGGATGTCGTCTTCAAGGTCTTCCCCGAGGTAGAAAGTTCCCCGGAAGGAGTCGGCGAAGCTAACGCGACATTCATCGACGGGAGTTAGTTCGCAATTTCTCGACCTATCCCTCAATTTCGTTTACCCTACATCCCTAAACATCCCAGAGGTCCCTACACCCTGCGCCATTATGGAGAACGTCAAAAGATGTCCAACGAAGGGGTAGATCATTATTAACTAGTCTATTCAGCATTCGACGTACCAGGTTGCTCCATAAGTTCAAGGACACGTTTATAAAGGATTAAAAATTTCTTTGGGACGAAACAAAGCGTGTATTAATTAACAATGTATTTCCCGTCACTGGATTATTTCTTGTCTTTCATTTGTGCATTTTAGTTGTGTCGAAAGAAATTCTTGAATTTCCCCTACGACTACTGGATGGGAATTGCTAAACACGGATATGTGAAAGAAACTTGGAAAATTTCTTCGCGAACTTGTGGAATGGGTCAATTCGGTTTTCTAGGGAATTGTGTGTTGGCTCCCTTTGGGAGGTCCTTGGACACGCGTCCGGCTCGCCCCTCGAGAGTCCTGCCTGCACCCCTCTGGAGGGTAGCTGAGGAGGAGAGAGCCTCGTTGTGTGCTCGATGCCGAAAGCCAAGGCGTCTTGAGCTCAAATATGTTAAGACAGTTACTTGGGGGGGTCCTGGGAGCTCGTTTGGTCGTTTGATCCGCGGAAGGGCTGCAGGCGGTAATTCGCGCAGGCCTAAGCGATCGAACGCGCTGCTCTTTGTGGCCGTGGATGCGCAAGGGTGTGCCACCCTCGACTACCCTCGGAGGGTAACCGTGGCCGTCGTCCTGGGGAAATGTCGAGGAAATTGAAATTAGATGTCGGGAAATTTTCGCCTGGCGTCATCCTAGCTCGTGCAGGGATCCGATTAAACGTCCTCTCGGTTATCGGGTGGCATCCCCAGGGTGGGCCGCTCCAAGGCGGCTGTTTTGAATTTTATGTCCTCCCGCTCCGAGAGGCACAGGATCGCATATCATTAGCGGTGCGCGAGGCGCCGGCGTCCTTTGATCTCGGGACGTTCGTATGCGCCGGGCCCCATCGGGCCCATGGGGCCTATGGGGCCCCAAGAGGCCCCGTGCGGCCCTGCGCGGGTGAGGCTTAAGGTATGCCTGACAGCCTCCCCAAATGATTTGTAGCGCCCTTCGCCAGATACAAGATACTAATTCTTCGGGGTCTGTCAGTCGCCGGCTACCGTTCGCCACTGTTAACTCGCCGAGCGTTCGGTTACAACTTAGTCAACGCCAGAGCGAGTCGGCTCGCCCTCTTCGAGGCCAACGTCGAAGCTGAAGTAGCAGCTCTTCGGCCTCCCCGGGAAATAATTGCCCGAGAAGAGCCAGGATCGATTTTCGAATCGCTAGGTCGTACATCGTTGCCTCGAAAAGCACCTCGAGGTAATGCAAAGTCGGGTAAATTGTCCCGGGTTCACAAAAATGCCAATGGAGATGGTTTTGGCAGGATATTTTGGCGAACGAATTCATGTTTCATTTACCTGGGGAATTGTGCATGCAATGTACACACATGCTGTACATAAATTCTATTTAAGGGGATGTGAAAGTGGCATCCTAAAGCTCAATCGTTCATACTTTAAAACGTGAATATGGAGACCCTAAGGTAGGTCCTGAAATTCCCGAAATATCATTTTTTATAAACTATTTTTAAAATACCTATAAACAAATTTGAAAAGAATTGAGTTTCAGGACCTTCCTTATATGCTCCCTATTCACGTTGTAAAGATTGAAACTAATCGGTGAATCGAGTTGGGAGAAAAGTTTTATAAACAAAATCTCTTCGATGCCACTTTCGCATCACCTTAACGCGGTAGACATTCAGATGAAATATTCCTTACAGCGGTCACGTTTCAAGTCGTGAAAATGGCAGCAATTTTCCAAAGTATTTGAAACCTAGAGGGGTGGATTCTTTGCTTTCTTTCTCTCCTTCCTTTTTTAAGCGCGCCCTATAAATTACGTCACCGCCGGGAATTGGAGTCGAAATGACGGAGAGATCCACGTGAGAAAATTGACTCTTTTACGGGTCTCGTCGGAAAGTCCCAACCCCATCCCCCAGCGGATCCCGGCAGGGTTTCGACCCTCTTCGACAACCCTTCGATCCTCGGATGGTCCTCATCGAGAACACGAGGTTCCTGGCGGACTTCTCGTCCTTCTAAACCCACAGGCGAACAAATTCTCCCGCTCGACCACTCCACACACACGGTGGCGAATAATCGGGAACAACCCCTGAACCTCTGCTCCAGAAAATCCCGTCCCTCCAGGAATGGCTCCCTTTAAAGCGCCATCGATCTTCGCCTCTTTTCCACCAGGAGGAGCCACCCTTCTCGCGTTGCGTCGTTAAGGGGGTCGCGACGTCTCCTGGAAAACGGTGCACGAAGACATTGAATCTCTCTCCGAGGCCTCCAACAATAAGAAATTGCTCTAGTTTGAGTCCCGGATCGCAAAACGATACCTCTGCTACGAAATTACCCTTCATTAATTACGCCATCGAATTCTGCGCCGGCGAGCATTGCGAATTGATAAGCATTCAAATTGCAACACCTAGGAATGGGATAAATACATCGGACATTATGAAGAAAGGTCTATTTCATCATAGAAATGGTCTAGATTTACAATAGTCTCTTTAATAAGAATTGAAATTGTTTACGCGAACACTGGAGCAATTATTTAAATCTTGGACTTAACCCAGCAGAGGGGTTTCGGTACTCGAAGGAGGTCGAGGGCGATCTTAAGTAAATTACTTCCAGGTGATTAAAGCGAGAGGTCCCGAAAACGTCAGTTTAGAGTGTCTCGAGAACCGCAGGGTGGCAGGTCGGTCGGGTGTCTAACACCTGGTGCGACAGGTGCCACCGACTGACACTCGTGTTCAATCGCATCCAATTACAACGGTCCGGCCGGTATAAGGGAAAAGGGAAAAAAAGGAAGGAGAAAAGGAAAGAAGAGGGAAAGGACGACGGAGAAATCCCTGCCGGCGAGATACCGATCTGGCTGGGGTCCCGTCTCGTCCTTAATGCCTGCGTTCACGGAAAGGACCCGTCGACGCGGGGGCCTTAATAATGCAGGAGACACGTTAAGGTGGGCATTTTGGAGGTCGCTTCCGGTGGCAAATGTGGCTTTTACTCGAGCCCGTGAAATATACGAGCAGAATGCACATTCTGGGGAGTGCTGGTCTCTTTGGGTTCGGTGTTGATCAAATGGTGGATACAGAGCGTGGGATGTCCTGTGCAGAAAATCTAGTACTGGTCAGGACTCATCTAGGATGCCAACCTAAGAATGTATGGTGTACATGAGAATGTCACTTTTCTATGTAGAGTTGAGCTTCAATGTCCTAAGTAGGTCCAACAAGGGATGGGACAAGGTTACGTTGATGCGTAATTATTTTTATGTAGGTTCTACCTTCGTGCCGAAAGTATACGGCTTGATGAAATTGTCTTGGATTTTTTTTTATTAGAGGTTTCCTATCCAGTATTCAAAGTGGGATATGAATCCCATACCCTGATCTGCCTGTGGAGAGAAATTAAGGGAGGAAGGACAGGACA